TGTACACGAGTTTCCAAGTTTTTGGGGATAGCAATGGTAAGTTAGTTTTGGGCCTATTTGTTTAAGTCTGTAGGGAACCCCCTTTAGTATTGGTGTAACCTTGCCTTTTGAGTATTTGGGGAAGGGTGTAGTCTTTTTTGGACTTTTTTAAAAAGTAATGAAATGCGCGAAAGGCGGGGCCGCTGTTGTACAAAATGGGGGACATAGCAGATTCCCGAGTTTTTTTAAAGTGACTTTTGACCCCAATGACTTCGTGGCTCATTTGGTGAAGATGAAGGAATTGGGGAAATTTTCCCATTAGGTACCCCCCGGGCAGGGGCATTGGTATGGGGTTTTTTTAATGCGAGTTTGACCTTGTTTGAGAAGAAAAAAGAATAAGCAAAAAAAGGGCGATAAAAAACCAGGAAAAAACCCCAAAAAAATAGGCCGTGAGCAGATCGCTCCCAACATCGCCGTCCCCATCCCCTGTTTAAAAATATAAAATTTTTGTAAAAACACTTTAGAACATTCACTCGGGTACCATGTGTGCCCAAAGAGTTGAGCTATTTTCATATATTAAATCATTTCCATTTTTCCGATTTTTGGTGAGCGCGCGCGGAAAATTGCCCGCATGCCCCCTTCAGTCTCATATTTTCCTCCTGAAGAAGTAGAATCTCCTTCTTCAACACTTGAACCTGAGATTCTAAAACACTACAACAAGTCATGGTGCTTGGTAACACCCCACGCTAACTCCCAAGAGCTTAGGCAGGTGTATAAATGAGGATGTTGTGTGTCTCACTCAGAGTATAACTGAGGATGTCGTGTGTCTCACTCAGAGTATATCTGAGGATATTGTGTGTCTCACTCAGAGTAAAATCTGAGGATGTTTGTTGTCTCACTCAGAGTATATATGAGGATATTGTGTGTCTCACTCAGAGTATAACTGAGGTTGTTTTGTGTCTCACTCAGAGTATATCTGAGGATGTTGTGTGTCTCACTCAGAGTATATCTGAGGATATTGTGTGTCTCACTCAGAGTATATCTGAGGATGTTGTGTGTCTCACTCAGAGTATATATGAGGATATTGTGTGTCTCACTCAGAGTATAACTGAGGTAGTTTTGTGTCTCACTCAGAGTATATCTTAGGATGTTGTGTGTCTCACTCAGAGTATATCTGAGGATATTGTGTGTCTCACTCAGAGTATATCTGAGGATGTTGTGTGTCTCACTCAGAGTATATATGAGGATATTGTGTGTCTCACTCAGAGTATAACTGAGGTTGTTTTGTGTCTCACTCAGAGTATATCTGAGGATCTTGTGTGTCTCACTCAGAGTATAACTGAGGTTGTTTTGTGTCTCACTCAGAGTATATCTGAGGATGTTGTGTGTCTCACTCAGAGTATAAGTGAGGATATAGTGTGTCTCACTCAGAGTATGTCTGAGGATGTTGTGTGTCTCACTCAGAGTATAACTGAGGATGTTGTGTCTCACTCAGAGTATAACTGAGGATGTTGTGTGTCTCACTCAGAGTATATCTGAGGATGTTTTGTGTCTCACTCAGAGTATAAGTGAGGATATTGTGTGTCTCACTCAGAGTATATCTGAGGATGTTGCGTGTCTCACTCAGAGTATAACTGAGGATGTTGTGTGTCTCACTCAGAGTATATCTGAGGATGTTGTGTGTCTCCTCAGAGTTTTAACTGAGGTTGTTTGTGTCTCATCAAAAGTATATTGAGGATTTGTGTGTCTCACTCAGAGTATATCTGAGGATGTTGTGTGTCTCACTCAGAGTATAACTGAGGATGTTTTGTGTCTCACTCAGAGTATAACTGAGGATGTTGTGTGTCTCACTCAGAGTATATCTGAGGATGTTGTGTGTCTCACTCAGAGTATATCTGAGGATGTTGTGTGTCTCACTCAGAGTATAACTGAGGTTGTTTTGTGTCTCACTCAGAGTATATCTGAGGATGTTGTGTGTCTCACTCAGAGTATAAGTGAGGATGTTGTGTGTCTCACTCAGAGTATATCTGAGGATGTTGTGTGTCTCACTCAGAGTATAACTGAGGATGTTGTGTGTCTCACTCAGAGTATAACTGAGGATGTTGTCTCACTCAGAGTATATCTGAGGATGTTGTGTGTCTCACTCAGAGTATATCTGAGGATGTTGTGTGTCTCACTCAGAGTATAACTGAGGTTGTTTTGTGTCTCACTCAGAGTATAACTGAGGATGTTGTGTGTCTCACTCAGAGTATAACTGAGGATGTTGTGTGTCTCACTCAGAGTATAACTGAGGATGTTGTGTGTCTTACTCAGAGTATAACTGAGGATGTTGTGTGTCTCACTCAGAGTATATCTGAGGATGTTGTGTGTCTCACTCAGAGTATAACTGAGGTTGTTTTGTGTCTCACAGTGTATAACTAAGGAAGTTGTGCGCCTCACTCAGTGTATAACTGAGGATATTGTGTGTCTCACTCAGTGTATAACTGAGGATGTTGTATCTCAGTGTGTAACTGAGGATGTTGTGTGCCTCTTTCAGTGTATAACTGAGGATGTGTGTCTCAGTGTATAACTAATGTTTGTGTGTGTCTCACTTAGTGTGTAACTGAAAATGTTGTGTGTCTCACTCTTTGTGTAAGTAAGGAGGTTCTGTGTTTAAGATTATAACTGAAAATGCTATGTGTCTCAGAATATAACTGAGGATGTGTGTTTCACTCAGTTTATAGCTGAGGATGTTGTGTGTCTCACTCAGTTTATAACTGAGGATGTTGTGTGTCTCACTCAGAGTATATCTGAGGATGTTGTGTGTCTCACTCAGTGCATAAATGAGGATGTTGTGTGTCTCACTCAGAGTATAACTGAGGTTGTTTTGTGTCTCACAGTGTATAACTAAGGATGTTGTGCGCCTCACTCAGTGTATAAGTGAGGATATTGTGTGTCTTACTCTGTGTATAACTGAGGATGTTGTGTCTCAGTGTGTAACTGAGGATGTTGTGTGCCTCATTCAGTGTATAACTGAGGATGTGTGTCTCAGTGTATAACTGATGTTTGTGTGTGTCTCACTCAGTGTATAACTGAGAATGTTGTGTGTCTCAGAGTAAAACAGAGGATGTGTTTCTAACTCAGTGTATTTCTGAGGATGGTGTGTCTCACTCAGATGACAACTGAAAATGTTATTTGTCTCACAATATAACTCAGGATGTTGTGTGTCTCACTCAGTGCATAACTGAGGTTGTTGTGGGTTTCATACACTGTTTAACTGAGGACGTTGTGTGTTTCAGTGTATAACTGGAGGTGTGTGTCTCACTCAGGGTGTAACTGATGATGTTTTGCGTCTCACTCAGTGTATAACTGAGAATGGGTCTCAGTGTATAACTGAGAATATTGTGTGTCTCACTCATTGTATGACTTATGATGTCGTGTGTTTCACTCTGTGTATAAGTGAGTATGTTTTGTGTCTCACTCACTGAATAACTGAGGATGTTGTGTGTCTCACTCAGTGTATAACTAAGGATGTTCTGTGTCTCACTCAGTGTATAACTTAGGAAGTTGTGTGTCTCAGTGTATAACTTAGGAAGTTGTGTGTCTCAGTGTATATCTGAGGACGTGTCTCACTCAATGTTTAACTGAGGATGTTGTGTGTCTCAGTGTATATCTGAGGTTGTTGTGTGTCTCACTCAGTGTATAACTGAGGTTGCTGTGTCTCACTCAGTGTATAACTGAGGTTGCTGTGTCTCACTCAGTGTATAACTGAGGTTGCTGTGTCTCGCTCAGTGTATAACTGAGGTTGCTGTGTCTCGCTCAGTGTATAACTGAGGTTGCTGTGTCTCGCTCAGTGTATAACTGAGGTTGCTGTGTCTCGCTCAGTGTATAACTGAGGATGTTTTGTATCTCACTCAGTGAATAACTCAGGATGTTCCGTGTTTTACTCAGTGTATAAATGAGGTTGCTGTGTATCTCAGGCAGTGTGTCACTGAGTATGTTTTGTTTCTCACTCAGTGTATAACTGAGGATGGGTGTCGCACTCAGTGTATAACTGAAAATGTTGTGTCTCAGAATATAACTCAGGATGTTGTGTGCCTCGCTCAATTTATAACTGAGGATGCTGTGTATCTCACTCAGTGTATTATTGAAGTTGTTGCGAGTCTCACTCAAATTATAACTTAGAATCTTATGTGTCTCAGAATATAACTGAGGATGTTGTGTGTCTCATTCAGAGTATAACAGAGGATGTTGTGTGTCTCACTCACTGTATAAATAAGGATATTGTGTGTCTCACTCACTGTATAAATAAGGTTGTTGTGTGTCCCATTCAGAGTATAACAGAGGATGTTGTGTGTCTCACTCACTGTATAAATAAGGATGTTGTGTGTCTCACTCACTGTATAAATAAGGATGTTGTGTGTCTCACTCACTGTATAAATAAGGATGTTGTGTTTCTCACTCAGTGTATAATTGAGGATTATTGAGTGTCTCAGTGTATAGCTGAGGATGTCGTGTGTCTCACTCACTGTATAAATAAGGATGTTGTGTGTCTCACTCACTGTATAAATAAGAATGTTGTGTGTCTCATTCAGAGTATAGCAGAGGATGTTGTGTGTCTCACTCACTGTATAAATAAGGATGTTGTGTGTCTCACTCAGTGTATAATTGAGGATTATTGAGTGTCTCAGTGTATAGCTGAGGATGTCGTGTGTCTCACTCAGTGTGTAACTGAGAATGTTGTGTGTCTCATTCAGAGTGTAACTGAGGAGTGTGTGTCTCACTCAGTGTATAACTGAGGATGTTGTGTGTCTCACTCAGTGTATAACTTAGGGTGTTGTGTGTCTCACTCAGTGTATAACTTAGGGTGTTGTGTGTCTCACTCAGTGTATAACTTAGGGTGTTGTGTGTCTCACTCAGTGTATAACTGAGGATGTTGAGTCACTCAGTGATTAGGTGAGGATGTAGTGTGAATCAGTCAGATTATAACTGAAGATTTTATGTGTCTCTGAATATAACTGAGAATATTGTGTCTCAATCAGAGTATAACTGATGATGTGGAGCAGATGGTTGAGGTATTGCAACAGGAGAAGATTGGAAGATTGGTGTTGGTACCAAGCTTGTTGAGATCCATCTTGTTACACTGTGCCTCTGCTGCAACACACTCTCCGAGCTTGCAACATCTCAGGTATGTTGCTCAACACTGCATCATTCATTTTGTTATGTTGCATTGTAAATATGATTTATTAATGGTGTTTTTATAGAGTAACTCTTAAAGTTGCTTGTGTTGAGTCTAGGAAAGTTGTGGCAAACAACACAACTAGAAACACTTGCAAAACTTGTTTAACAGACCTCCGTTTATTGGACCTCTGTTTAACAGACCTCCGTTTAATGGACCTCTGTTTAACAGACCTCCATTTAATGAATCTCTGTTTAACAGACCTCCGTTTAATGGACCTCTGTTTAACAGACCTCCATTTAATGGATCTCTGTTTAACAGACCTCTATTTAATGGACCTCTGTTTAACAGACCTCTATTTAATGGACCTCTGTTTATCAGACTTCCATTTAATGGACCTCTGTTTAAAGACCTCTATTTAATGGGCCTCTGTTTAACAGACCTTTATTTAATGGACCTTTGTTTAACACACCTCAATCTAATGAAGCTCTGTTTAACAGACCTCTTAATGGACTTCTGTTTAACAAACCTCCATTTAAAGGATCTCTGTTTAACAGACCTCCATTTAATGGACCTCTGTTTAACAGACCTCCATTTAATGAATCTCTGTTTAACAAACCTCTATTTAATGAACCTGTGTTTAACAGACCTCTATTTAATGGACCTGTGTTTAACACACCTCCATTTAATGGACCTCTGTTTAACAGACCTGTATTTAATGGACTTCTGTTTAACAGACCTCCATTTAATGGACCTCTGTTTAACAGACCTCTATGTAATGGACCTCTATTTAACAGACCTCTATTTAATGGCCCTCTGTTTAACACACCTCCATTTATCGGAGTTCGGAAATAAAGAATAAAATCCTCTGAGTCGGTAGATTTACAATGACAATGTCAGAATTGTTGATTGTTGTTACAATCACAACACAACAATCTCTTGTACAAGAATGGTATACAATACCGACAAGATGAAATTAAGACACATGTGCAACATCTGGGTATTTTTATTGTAGACGTTTCGCCATCCAGTGGCTTTATCAATACAACTTTCAGGACATAACTTGAAGACAGGAGAACTATGTACAGAAGATGACCAACTCCAAGGTTGAGGGACTGATTACCTCATCTTCTGTACATAGTTCTTCTGTCTTCAAGTTATGTCCTGGAATTTGTATTGATAAAGCCACTGGATGGCGAAACGTCTACAATAAAGATACCCAGATGTTGCACGTGTGTCTTGATCAAAACAATCTCTTCTTTAACCACGACAATAATCACTACTGGATTCCCCCTGCTCCCCCGTCCTTTAAATGGAGTGTTTACTGTACACCAGCCGATACAGTAGTGTACACAGTGTAGAGCTGATACAGTAGTGTACACAGTGTACAGCTGATACAGTAGTGTACACAGTGTACAGCTGATACAGTAGTGTACACAGTGTACAGCTGATACAGTAGTGTACACAGTGTACAGCTGATACAGTAGTGTACACAGTGTACAGCTGATACAGTAGTGCACACAGTGTACAGCTGATACAGTAGTGTACACAGTGTACAGCTGATACAGTAGTGTACACAGTGTACAGCTGATACAGTAGTGTACACAGTGTAAAGCTGATACAGTAGTGTACACAGTGTACAGCTGATACAGGAGTGTACATAGTGTGCAGCTGATACAGTAGTGTACACAGTGTACAGCTGATACAGTAGTGTACACAGTGTACAGTAATACAGTAGTGTACACAGTGTACAGCTGATACAGTAGTGTACACAGTGTACAGCTGATACAGTAGTGTACACAGTGTACAGGTAATACAGTAGTGCACACAGTGTACAGCTGATACAGTAGTGTACACAGTGTACAGCTGATACAGTAGTGTACACAGTGTACAGGTGATACAGTAGTGTACACAGTGTACAGCTGATACATTTGTGTACATAGTGTACAGCTGATACAGTAGTGTACACAGTGTACAGGTAATACAGTAGTGTACACAGTGTACAGCTGATACAGTAGTGAACACAGTGTACAGCTGATACAGTAGTGTACACAGTGTACAGCTGATACAGTAGTGTACACAGTGTACAGCTGATACAGTAGTGTAAACAGTGTACAGCTGATACAGTAGTGTACACAGTGTACATGTAACACAGTAGTGTACACAGTGTACAGCTGATACAGTAGTGTACACAGTGCACAGCTGATACAGTAGTGTACACAGTGTACAGGTAATACAATAGTGCACACAGTGTACAGCTGATACAGTAGTGTACACAGTGTACAGCTGATACAGTAGTGTACACAGTGTACAGCCGATACAGTAGTGCACACAGTGTACAGCTGATACAGTAGTGTACACAGTGTACAGCTGATACAGTAGTGTACGCAGTGCACAGCTGATACAGTAGTGTACACAGTGTACAGGTAATACAATAGTGTACACAGTGTACAGCTGATACAGTAGTGTACACAGTGTACAGCTGATACAGTAGTGTACACAGTGCACAGCTGATACAGTAGTGTACACAGTGTACAGCTGATACAGTAGTGTACACAGTGTACAGCTGATACAGTAGTGTACACAGTGTACAGCTGATACAGTAGTGTACACAGTGTACAGCTGATACAGTAGTGTACGCAGTGCACATCTGATACAGTAGTGTACACAGTGTACAGGTAATACAATAGTGTACACAGTGTACAGCTGATACAGTAGTGTACACAGTGTACAGCTGATACAGTAGTGTACACAGTGCACAGCTGATACAGTAGTGTACACAGTGTACAGCTGATACAGTAGTGTACACAGTGTACAGCTGATACAGTAGTGTACACAGTGTACAGCTGATACAGTAGTGTACACAGTGTACAGCTGATACAGTAGTGTACGCAGTGCACAGCTGATACAGTAGTGTACACAGTGTACAGCTGATACAGCAGTATACACAGTGTACAGCTGATACAGTAGTGTACACAGTGTACAGCTGATACAGTAGTGTACACAGTGTACAGCTGATACAGTAGTGCACACAGTGTACAGCGATACAGTAGTGTACACAGTGTACAGCTGATACAGTAGTATACACAGTGTACAGCTGATACAGTAGTGTACACAGTGTACAGCTGATACATTAGTGTACACAGTGTACAGCTGATACACTAGTGTACACAGTGTACAGCTGATACAGTAGTGTACACAGTGTACAGCTGATACAGTAGTGTACACAGTGTACAGCTGATACAGTAGTATACACAGTGTACAGCTGATACAGTAGTGTACACAGTGTACAGCTGATACATTAGTGTACACAGTGTACAGCTGATACACTAGTGTACACAGTGTACAGCTGATACAGTAGTGTACTACAGTGTACAGCTGATACACTAGTGTACACAGTGTACAGCTGATACAGTAGTGTACACAGTGTGTACAGCTGATACAGTAGTGTACACAGTGTACAGCTGATACATTAGTGTACACAGTGTACAGCTGATACAGTAGTGTACACAGTGTACAGCTGATACAGTAGTGTACACAGTGTACAGCTGATACAGTAGTGTACACAGTGTACAGGTAATACAGTAGTGTACACAGTGTACAGCTGATACAGTAGTGTACACAGTGTACAGCTGATACAGTAGTGCACACAGTGCACAGCTGATACAGTAGTGTACACAGTGTACAGCTGATACATTAGTGCACACAGTGTACAGCTGATACAGTAGTGTACGCAGTGCACAGCTGATACAGTAGTGTACACAGTGTACAGCTGATACATTAGTGTACACAGTGTACAGCTGATACAGTAGTGTACACAGTGTACAGCTGATACAGTAGTGTACACAGTGTACAGCTGATACAGTAGTGTACACAGTGTACAGCTGATACAGTAGTGTACACAGTGTACAGCTGATACAGTAGTGTACACAGTGTACAGCTGATACATTAGTGTACACAGTGTACAGCTGATACAGTAGTGTACACAGTGTACAGCTGATACAGTAGTGTACACAGTGTACAGCTGATACAGTAGTGTACACAGTGTACAGCTGATACATAAGTGTACACAGTGTACAGCTGATACAGTAGTGTACACAGTGTACAGCTGATACAGTAGTGTACACAGTGTACAGCTGATACAGTAGTATACACAGTGTACAGCTGATACAGTTAGTGTACACAGTGTACAGCTGATACAGTAGTGTAACACAGTGTACAGCTGATACAGTAGTGTACACAGTGTACAGCTGATACAGTAGTGTACACAGTGTACAGCTGATACAGTAGTGTACACAGTGTACAGCTGATACATTAGTGTACACAGTGTACAGCTGATACAGTAGTATACACAGTGTACAGCTGATACAGTAGTGTACACAGTGTACAGCTGATACAGTAGTGTACACAGTGTACAGCTGATACAGTAGTGTACACAGTGTACAGCTGATACAGTAGTGTACACAGTGTACAGCTGATACAGTAGTGTACACAGTGTACAGCTGATACAGTAGTGTACACAGTGTACAGCTGATACAGTAGTGTACACAGTGTACAGCTGATACAGTAGTGTACACAGTGTACAGCTGATACAGTAGTGTACACAGTGTACAGCTGATACAGTAGTGCACACAGTGTACAGCTGATACAGTAGTGTACACAATGTACAGCTGATACAGTAGTGTACACAGTGTACAGCTACACCACAGTAAACATTGAAATTAAATATGCTAAAAGTAAAATTTATCGAGTGGATTTTGTCTCTTATTAAGGAAGTGCATTGTGTTGATGTTCATTATATGGAAGGTTTACTCTACTCTTGTTATAATTATGTAAACATTGTGTTGATGTTCATTATATGGAAGGTTTACTCTACTCTTGTTATAATTATGTAAACATTGTGTTGATGTTCATTATATGGAAGGTTTACTCTACTTCTTGTTATAATTATGTAAACATTGTGTTGATGTTCATTATATGGAAGGTTTACTCTACTCTTGTTATAATTATGTAAACATTGTGTTGATGTTCATTATATGGAAGGTTTACTCTACTCTTGTTATAATTATGTAAACATTGTGTTGATGTTCATTATATGGAAGGTTTACTCTACTCTTGTTATAATTATGTAAACATTGTGTTGATGTTCATTATATGGAAGGTTTACTCTACTCTTGTTATAATTATGTAAACATTTGGTTGATGTTCATTATATGGAAGGTTTTACTCTACTCTTGTTATAATTATGTAAACATTGTGTTGATGTTCATTATATGGAAGGTTTACTCTACTCTTGTTATAATTATGTAACATTGTGTTGATGTTCATTATATGGAAGGTTTACTCTACTCTTGTTATAATTATGTAAACATTGTGTTGATGTTCATTATATGGAAGGTTTACTCTACTCTTGTTATAATTATGTAAACATTGTGTTGATGTTCATTATATGGAAGGTTTACTCTACTCTGTTTATAATTATGTAAACATGTGTGTGATGTTCATTATATGGAAGGTTTACTCTACTCTTGTTATAATTATGTAAACATTGTGTTGATGTTCATTATATGGAAGGTTTACTCTACTCTTGTTATAATTATGTAAACATTGTGTTGATGTTCATTATATGGAAGGTTTTACTCTACTCTTGTTATAATTATGTAAACATTGTGTTGATGTTCATTATATGGAAGGTTTACTCTACTCTTGTTATAATTATGTAAACATTGTGTTGATGTTCATTATATGGAAGGTTTACTCTACTCTTGTTATAAT